TAGTTACTGATACGATCTCCTCAATTTATGAATGGACAGGAGCACTCAGTATAGAGGCTTCATGTTCATGCATAACAGGGGCTGCAGAAAAAGATTTAGGACTCAACTTCTGTTTAGACTACTGATTATTTCCCCAAAGCAGCTAACAATAAAGCTAAAAAAAAAAAAAAAAAAAATATTAAATTAAATTTAGAGCCATTTTTGGTTTCTGCCTGAAATGTGTTTTTTATTTCGGTGCATCCCTAATCAAATAAGAAATCTGATTCAATTGAAGATAGGTATATAAACCTGCACAAATGTACAACTGGAAATCTGCAAGTATTCACCGATTTGAAAAAACAACAATTGACTGATCTATGAATATAATATACATGACGGACTGGGGGAAGGATCATTCAACAGTGACACTGCAATGTCACTCTACCAGTAACCATACATGTGTGTACATTTCATAGAAACATTTTAGCCAGCATTATCCATGTCTTAGAAATTTTTGGAAGGAATATTGCAAACACCAGAGCACTTTGAATGCACACATAACAGAGATCAAGGCCAAAGGAATTCCACGACTGATAATATGGATTCTCCTTAGTAGATGTTGTTATTTTCAGGTATCTGCCGTTTTCCCTTAGGAGGACTAGAAGGCAAATCATTCATGTCACGTTCCTACCGATAGCTAATAAATACAATAGCCATTTAATGAGATTAAACCACATCATCATCTGATTAACTTGCAGCAGAACCTTTCCAAAAACCAATATGTTATCAGCACGATTACCGATGACCTACAAGGGCCAGAGCGTTCCATCAACGTTTAATATTCTGAGGCTTTTACATTGTCTATTTGCCATTTATGTTACATATTCTAAAAGATGTTCAACATTGAACAGCTCCGCGTCTGCAGAACGACGTTACAGGCTAGGGTTCAACATACAGCTGTCAAAATCATTCTGGAAAATTCAGCCATTTGTTACCTCGTTCCAAAAATAGCCAGATCCTCGGCCCCAACAACTGGCTGTCAGATAATGGGCCCTTTGGACCACAAACAAATGAGTCTGTTCAATCCACCAGACAGCATCTCAGCATCCTGTGGCATAAATTAGAATACATGACAGCTTGCCAATATTTTCAGGATATAAGCTAGCTGTAGAAGCAGCCACCCAAACATAGGTTTAACCTGTTCATGATACAGACAAACGTGTAACTAGTCAAAGAGAGATAAAATGGCCGTGTAAACACGACAACCCAGTGATGGAGAACACATATGTTATTACAGCATAAGGTGACGACAAGTGTCAGCGTAGAGAGTTAACCAAAGGACATGGCAGAACTAAAATCAATTAGCTCATTTACCATATTCCAACGACTGACCGCTAATGAGCATTAAATCTGCCAATTAGGACAAATCAGACAGTAAATATACAAAAGAGCAACATAGAAGCCAAGCCAGAGTATCAGATCATGTCATCTGTAATAATGTTCTGGAGATCCAGGCAGCTGCATGGATGCAATTCTACATCTTAGAGAAAATGATGCTAAATAATATAACCAGTGTAAATATTCACTACAACAGATAAATAATGAGATATAACTCTGGTCACTTAAAGTAGCATGAAAGCCTGGCCATTGTTTACCTGAATGCATTCTGTGCATCTAGGTAAAAACCGCACAGTACCTCCCCCCCCCCCCCCCCCCCCCCCCCTCTT